TAACTATTTACTAAACAGAACCATGTCCAACAAATTATAATTGCTCCTATCAACAAACAGAATTTGATACTTTGCTATTCGAATAGCAAAACACCATTCATCAAATAAAAGAATTCACACTTATTATTGTAATTCCTTATTATGATAAATATTTTCCAATTGATTTAATTTGAACTGCAGATCACTTTCACCCTAAACATAACATATCCTACAATAAACACACTACCAAAAAAAGAAGTGTTTTAATTTGCATTTTTAGTACATTTTGCTTCCTTTAAATTATCATAAATAGAAATAAATTATTTCCTATTGCCCTATCTATGTATCGACACGCATTTATATAAATAAATAACACTAAAATTTGTAAGTAAATCCAAAAAAAAAAAAACACCGTACGTGACCTGCACATGGGCCATTAACCGAAACTGGCTAGAGGATTGGACAGTGAAAAGTAATTCCTGACTCTGAACGGTATTATAGCTTATTGAGGTCACTTTCTCTCCCGAAGAGCCCATGGAAGCCTTAAGGCACACGACCAGGCAGATTCACCGCAGCCACAATGTCAAGTTAAGATGACTTGGTATCCATCACCAAGAGCCTTGACTCTTCTGCGTTTTCGTCATTAACATATGACACAAGGTAGCCAATGGCAAGCAACATCTCAAATCGATCTTCAGAACTTGAAAAGGTACTTCTTTCTAGGGGTGGGCAAATATCGGTTTCGGTATCCACCAAAACCAATATTTCAATAACCGAAATTTTTCGGTATTGATTTTTAAGACCAATACCAATACCAGTGTTGCCCCTTTTTTTCAGTTTCGAGTACCGAAATTTTCGGTTTTCATTTTTCATGTTTCAATTTTCACCGAATGTTAACAACCTTTTAACCATTTCCACAAGCATCCTCACTTAAGCCAAAATTTGACAATTTTTCTTGAAAATATAAAATGAACCAATCTAAAATATTGAAAGTGTACATGTTTCATAATCTAATTTTTACTTTCAAATACATTAAATCCATATTATGAACTAAAAACCAATCATCACAAATCTATGCAAATTTGAAGCATCCAAATTTTAATAAATATCAATAAGCAATTAACCATCAATAAGCAATTAAGCATCATTACTTCAATAGCATAATACTTACATTTATTCATCATTTCAGATTGAAGTTCACATTGAAAGTACAAAACCAAGTTAATAGCACCCCATCAACTTGTAACAATACTTCCTATCATTCAACAATCTAGATTGATGATTGATGGAGTGATAACTAAACAAAAACACTTACAATAACCACTAACTAATAAATACGCATCTACCATTATCAAAAAAGGAAATGAGATGCAACTTTCTATGTGTATTTTGTTAAGTGCCCAAACTATGTACTGATGTTATATGGTTATATGCAAAGCTGTTCAAGCAAGTAGTAGCAGCAGCTTGATCAAGTTAAAAGTGCCCCAAAAGCTATCCAATTGTCAAAGTTAGTGAAACCCTCCAAAAAAGCCAAGAAGTTAGATGTAAGATGCTATAGATTTCAATAAAGACGAAAATGGAAAGCATTGCGCTAGGGTTTCATAATACCTTTCTCGAATCCTGCACTAGATTGAGCAATTAAATCCAATTGTGTTCAAGGATTGTTATTGTAATTCTCCGATTCACCTCCTATTTCTCTTGGTGGGGCTAGCTCTTCACAGAAATAAGGCCAAGCTTTGCCAATGACATGAGGGTTGAGCTTTTCACCTTCAATGCTGACGAGTACAAAGGGAATGTAAGGCTTATGACTACCACCAAGCGGCAGTAGTGATGAGCAGAGAAGATGATTAGATGAGAAAGGAAAAAGAGAGGTAGAAAAAGGAGATTGATTTTTAAGAGAATGAGAAAAAAAAAACAGGTGAAAAAGCTTTTATACTTGAGAAAAATTGATAAAAATCCATGAAAGATTAGGTGGGGATGGAGGGAAATTGATCTTTGGAGTTGTAGCATTAGGAGGGAAATTGATCTTTAGGGTTGGAGCTTTGGAGGGAATTTTTCCAGAGAGGGAAAGTGAAAATGAGGAAGGGCTGGAATTGGAAGCAACAGGCAGCAGCGGTGTGTCCGTGACGCCATTTAGGGTTCTTTATCTTTCTTTTTTTTTTTGGGCCAAAATACTTCGGCCTCAGTTCGGTTAGTCAGGAGGCCCTACTCAGTTTTCGATTATTGGGCCTCTTGACCAATACCAAACCAAAAGTTCATCGGTTTTTCATCAAAACCAACTTAAAATTCACCAAAACTAATTCATTCAAACCAAATTCAATTTTTCGGTTTGGTTTTCGATTAGCCATTCGGTTAACCAACCAATGCCCACACTTACTTCTTCCAGAGATTTGACTGGGAGGCAGCTGGCTCAGTTGAAAGGAATCTAATCTTATCGCTCTGAAATAAGCAAATTCCTGTCAAAGGCTCAGTTTGAGAGGTAAAGAATATTCATTACCTATTTTCAAAAAGAGAGGCAAAGAATATTGTGGTCTGGTTAAACCTTGTCAGTTGTCACCCAGTGCATACGCACCTAGAATCAAACTTTGTTACGGCACCTATGACAGCTTGCCATGTGTCCTCAACATTTTCCCTTCCTCAGTACAGTACCAAATCAGCTGTGCTCCTTGGTCCTTTGTCCTCTTCTTTTTTTTCATTTTTGGGTAAATGTCCTTTGTCCTTTTCTGATACTTTGAGTTAGGTGTTTTTTTTTTTTTTAACAAGGTAATGATTAGAAAGTTAGTATAAGTTAATTGTTAGCAACTGAGATCTTCAGATCGGTGAACATTCACCCTTCAAATAAGGTGTATGACTATTAAGTCACTTTTTGATAAAGTTTACGATGGTAGTAAAACTTGAAACTCTAATCACCACCTCACCCAATCCCTAAAGTTTGAGAGCGAACTATTGGACCTAAATCCCGGTTCGCCTTTAAGTTAGGTTAGTGATCCTGAAGGCATGAATGACCGTCATATGTCCTTTGGCTATTGGCCTACATATCACCCTAAGGCTCCATGGCCAATTAAGCATGTAAATCCCTCTGTTGCCGATTAAAGAAGAGCTGCTTGTTTTATGACTCAAATTATATCAAATTATGAGGGAAAAGTTATTTTGTAAAAAATATATAGATATATTATTAAAAAATTAATATTTATTTAATAATTATAATTATATTTTCAACTGCAAACACATTAATGTTTTGCTCTTTAATTAATTTAACAAATTGCTAGCAATATCTTAAAAAAAAAAAGATTGTATAAATTTAATTAAATATCTAAAACTTTTAAAATTGATGATCATAAGGATAAAACCAAACAATCACATAACTCAGTCTAATGGAATGCTCTTTAACAAATCTACCTGGATTATTATAAAAAAAAAAAATTTTTGAATTTGGGGTCTTAGTAATCATCTCGGGGTTCTCTCTCTCTCTCTCAACCTTCCCAGTGATTGCTTTTCTCTTTGCTTTTTTCTTTTGCTCATTTATTTATATAAATGAGAAATAAATCATAATGTTAAGGCTATACAATTAAAAAGATATTAGAAAAGTTAAATTAAATTCTATTAATAAAAAGTTGTGAATAATATTTATAAAAATCAAATCTTATTATAGTTTGATATATTATAATATTTAAAATATGTTAGATTTAAATTACTTTTAAATATATATTTTTTAAAAAGCTAGTTAGATATTTATTAAGGAATTTTCAAAAGTCCAATAAGTGTTTATTTGAGAATTTGAAAGGATTTTGTTATTATAAAAATCTTATAATAATTTTTTATCAAAAAAGATTAAAATACCTTATTTTTTAACCATAAATTAGACTAATTTTTTAGTCTTTTTATGATATTTTATTAAAATGATATAATTTTAAAGTTTTTTTTTTATTTACAAAAAGTAAGATAACTAAGTAATAATTTCAATTAATAAACACTTTTTACAAGAATGATAATGAAAAGTCTTTAAAGGACAAAGGCTTTTATTGGTTTTTACACTTTAATTTTTGATCAATTCCTTCTAACATCTCTAACTTTTCTAACATGAAACATTTCCACGTCTAACTTTAATTTGGGGACCTCATAGTTCCTTACCATAATTTTGATTGGCTTAGAGCTATTGTTGAGCTACACAGTTGTTTCCATCCAAAGTTAATGTTTAGACTAACACAAGGACAATTAGGGTATTGAAACAGAGGTTGAGGACTATGATAGTCTCAAAATAGAAGTTAGACGTAAAAGTGTGTCTTATTATGTTTAGTTAAGTTAGGATAGAAAGAGTTGTGGGCTCCAGCCAAGACATGGCCATCTCCTTCACACTTATATTCCGCTGCAGTTTCTTTATCTTCCACGCCATGTTCTTCTGCTCCGTACGTCACTAATAACTAACTGACAATTTATAGTTGTTCTTGTCAATAAACAGAGTTTGGCACGTATTTTGCAATTTGGTTTATAACACTTTATCTTTTAAATGAAAGAATGCACACTTAATAATAATAACTCATTATTATTTAATAATAAATATTTTACAATATACAATTTAAATTTAAAAAACACTTCTGCCAAACATATGTAATAATTCAAGTCTATGATCTGGACTGGAGAGTGAAATGTGGCTACTGGTTTTAACAGTAATTTTTTTTGGGGTACATTCTGAACGGTATCATAACCTATTGAGGTCGCTTTCTCTCACAAACAGCCCGTGGAAGCCGTAAGGCACCCGACCAGGCAGCTTCACGGCAGCCACAATTTCAAGTTCAGGTGACTTGGCATCCATCACCAAGAACCTTGACTCTTCTGTGTTTTCGTCATGAACATATGACACCAGGTAGCCATCATCCTCCTCTGCCTCTGGGTTATCCGGCTCCTTCGCCACAAAGAAGGGCTCTCCGCCATAGCATCCCGGCCCGTAAATCCTGGTAGCCACCGTGCCCTCACGGCACTCACCATTAGACACGTCCAACTTCACCACTCCTGTAAATTTTGGCAATGGATCACCTATTGCTGCATATACATATTTGTTCTTTTTTCCTACGTAAGCAGGATTTATGACTCCAAACTCGAGATTTCTTGTTGAAATTGGGTCCCTTTGTACTAACCCCGTCTTAAGATTGATTGTTACCTTCTCCACCAAGGCATGAGTAAGGTCCACTCTCTCCAGGACATGCTCAATGAATAGCATATTCGGTGCTATCATGACTACTGTGTTACCGTCGTCCTCCTCCCATGCATTGATGGCATGTATAAGGTTGAATCCTGGCACATCAAACCATTTCATCTCGGACTCATCTTTTGCATAACGAGGGATGAAGCCGAGTCTCGGGACTTTGGTCGGATCATAACCCATCAAAGAACCTCCCCTCAAAATAATTTTCATGGGGTTCATTCCAATTTGTATGTCGGTGAATATGGCATAATTCTTTGTGATGGCGAAATCGTGGACGAATGAGGGACGTGTCATTGAGAAAATGGGCACATCTGGATGCTTATTTCCGTTTGCATCGAAGTAAAAGTAGGTTAGAAATGGAGGCACAGGACCATACCGGAAAGCAAAGGTCTCACAGGTTTCGGGGTCGATCTTGGGGTGAGCAGTCAAGCTCCTCAGGAGCTTTCCGTTGAAATCATGGCGACCTAATGTCTCTATATCTCCATTAGATGTCAAGTGCACAGAATAAGGCAGATCAGACTCACCAAGTGCATAGAGACGGCTGCCAAAGAAGGTCAAACTAGTATTTGCAAGACCCAAGCCATTTGCAGGATTGTATTGACCGGCTAAGATTCTAGCAACAGACAAGGTAGCACGTGCCGTAGAGGCAATAAGACCATTGAAGCCAGAGAAGACATTGGGAAAAATAGGAGCACCAGCATCACGTTCGGTGGTGTACTTGTAAGTCTTCACAAAGCGGCTGCAGAGGGTGGCTCGACCTTCTGAAATTCTAACGGAATGAAGCATACCATCACCATCAAAGAGATGGAAAGGTCCACGAGGAAAGTACTGAGGATTCGGGCCGTTTCTTATGTACGTACCGTTCAGCCACAGTGGTAGGGATCCTTCCACCACTTCACACTCAGTTGGAGGAAGCTCATCCACTGGAGCAAAGTTATGAGAGAGGACATGTCTGGGGTCGACTGAGGGGCGGATGGGAGGGTCTATGAATCTGTTGATAAAGTCATCAAATGCACCAAAAATGACCGTACACATCGTGGGTTCTACCCTTATCTTTGCTGGGGCAGCAACCTTTCTAGGCTGAGGAGAGGAATTTGGGATATTGGGAGTTTTTTTGGCAGTTGTGGAAATGTTTTGAGGCTTTTCTTCAGTTCCATGAGAGGAAGCGTTGCGGACAGGAACGTATGACTGTGTACGGATGGCAGGAGAGAGGAGTTTGGATGACGGAAATGAAGGGAGAAAGGAGGAGGAGAAGGCATACATGTCAATGGAATTTTGGCTGAAAAAGGGCGAAAGGAAAACAGAAAGAATATAATCAGAATTGTGGTGGAGAGAGAGAAAGCAATCATGAGCTGCTAGAGAAGAAGTCTACTTCCCCTCCTTTTGTTGCTTTGGTTTTCTGGATTTTACCGTGTGTTATGTATGTATTTCTTTTCCCCCTTTTTATTTGGCATTAGTCATGCGTGGTTCTAGACCATCTATATATATTGTAATCCTCCTTTGTTAATGTTAATCTTTTTTTTTTTTTTGGATTAATATTATTATGCTAAGTCAAAATTGTTCTATTGTGGGTTATCTACATCACATACCCAATTGCTTGCTGAAAAATTTGGTTTCAAGATTGGTACACTGCCAATCAGATATTTAGGAGTACCATTGACCATGGGAAGCTTGCAAAAAAGGATCTCAAGCCTTTAGTCTCTAAAATCATTGAGAGAATGTCTTTCTGGGTGGCTAAACATCTCTCTTTTGCTGGTAGATTACAACTAATCTCCTCAGTAATTCAAGGCATCACCAATTTTTGGTGTTCTATTTTCATATTGGCTAAAGGGGTTATTAAAGAAGTGGAAAAGATATGTAGTGCTTTTCTTTGGAATAGTGAAACTTGAAATGCTAGAGGGGCTAAGGTGAGCTAGTTGCATGTCTATACTCCAAAACAGGAGGGGGGGTCTAGGACTCCGGAACTTAGCTTAGTGGAATCAAGTTTGCATTTTAAAGTTTATATGGCTGTTATTCTCAAAGGTAGGTTCTATTTGGGTTGCTTGGGTCCAGGAAAACTTACTCAAGGGCAGAAGCTTTTGGTCCATTAACATTCCTTCTAATGCTTCTTGTAGATGGAGGAAAATTTTAAAACTAAGGCCATTAGCTAGAGGGCTAATCCAGCACATACTAGGGAATGGTCAAAACACTTATCTCTAGCATGATAATTGGCACCCCTCTGGCCCACTGTTAGAAGTTTTTGGAAACTCTATTGTTCATGATGCAGGGATACCCTCCCAAGCTAAACTAGTCAATGTTATAAGTGGTAGATTTTGGAATCGGCCTCCTGTTAGATCTCCCCAATTGATGGGAATCCAAATACCTCTTTTTGATATTCATCCCAGGGAAGGTGAAAATGATTCAGTTATTTGGTTGATCTCCCCTTCTAGATCTTTCAAAACTGGTTAGACTTGGCATTGGTTGAGACATAAGCAACCCAGGAAGGTATGGCATAAACTTGTTTGGTTTCCTCATGCTATCTCTAAGCATAGCTTCATAGGTTGGCTAGCCATACTTAATAGATTGACTACAAAAGCTAGATAGAAGCAATGGACCCCTACCATCTCGGATACTTGTATCCTATGTAATAATAACTCAGAAACTTCTGAGCACTTGTTCTTTAAGTGCAATTATGCTAACACAATTTGGAGGCAGATTAGTACTATGATCAATACTCCCTTTGTGGCCTCTTGGCAAGACTTATTACATTGGATGGGGAAAAAGGGTTAGAAGAAAATATTTGCTTAGCATTATGATCAAACTCTCACGGAATGCCACAATCTACAACATTTGGATGGAAAGAAACAAAAAAGTTCATCTACAACTCTTTAGAAGTGAGAGTACAATCCTTCATGAGAATCAATTTGAGGTTAGAGCTAGAATGTTGGAGTTTGCTCACCCAAGGTCTTCATCACTTCCTATGGCTATTGTAATTCAATGGGGACTTGAAACAATTGTGACAGATTAGTTTTTGAGTAATAGTAGAATGTGTACTAAGTATTGTGTAATTTTCCTAGTCTCTTCTCTCTTGTAGCAGTTTCTGTGTTGCTTTATGTTGTAAGTATTTTTGGATAAATAAATTCACCTTTTATCCAAAATAATAATAATAATAATAATAACAACAACAACAATAACAAAATTAGAAATAATAATTGATATATTTTTTAATTCAACATATTTTACAATACATTCATTAAGAAATTATTGTTTTTAAATTTAAATTTAAGGCAAGAAAATTTTTAATTACATAATTTAATTACTAAATCAATAAGTGTTAACAAATGTGCTAAACTAAATAATGTGCCAATTATTTCCCTAAAATTAGCTCAAGGTTTAAGTTTTAGGGATTGTATTTAAATGTAAACTTTGTTTTAAGGATGTGTTTGGTTCACTACTTGTTTAGAAAAATACTTTCAAGGAAGTCAAGTCGATTAAGCTAAACTATTTTTTTTTTCTATTAACGTGGATTAAGCCAAACTTGTGGGTTGCAAAAAAATTTGTTAGATATTTCTATAGAATAGAAAATGATTATACTATTTAATTTGATACATTTTTCAATACTTGTTCTTTTTAGTTATTAAAATATAATATAAATCCAATTTATTTAGTCAATCCTTATATTTTATATGTATTGTTATATTTTAAATTTATTTATTTTTAATTTTAAATTAAAAATAATAATTTTTAATAAATATATTATATATCACATTTAATTAAAATACATACCAATTAATCTCCGTATAGAATACACTCAATCTTATGCCACTTTAACTGAACAACGTCGGTCGGATACAGTAAACAAAAATACGAGAGAATTCTTCTTTGCAAACTTTAAAAGAATAGAAAATTATGTAGATCATGTCATCATGATAAATCATGCTACTATAAATTGGTAAGAATCCTTATCATGTAATAGCATCCGAATTAGCAGAGAAACCAAATTTACTAGTTATTCAAAGACGATTACTTCAAGGTCCATATGTGAAATTCTTACCATTTCTTTCTTTACCATTATTTGTGATCAAAATTGTTAACGTTGCCACATGTGGAAAAGGCAAACATGGCACTTTCCTTTTTTCTTTGGATATAAACGTGACACTGGTCTTCATTATCGTTCGGGAATGTTATGGCTATTAATTGATAGACATACCGTTAGTTGGTAGGAAATTCACATGGTATCAATCTAGCGGTAAATGTATGAGCAGAATTGATAGATTTTTGCTCTCAGAAGGTTGCTTGTCAAAATGAGGAGAGACAAGACAATGGGGCTTGAAAAGAGCAGTGTCAAATCACTACCCAATCTTGTTAAAACATCAACAAATTGACTGGGGTCCAAAGCCTTTCAGGTTTTTCGATGCATGGTTAGAGCAGAACGATTGCAGTGAGTTGTTTAAAGAGGTGTGGGACAAAGCACAAGTTCAAGGGTAGGTAGGATTCCAACTCAAAGAAAAATGAAGTTAACTAAGGAGGCTTTAAGAAAATGGAGCCAAAACTTACTGCTAGCTTTGGATCAGGGAATTAGCAAGGCTGCCAAAGAGATTGAGATGATGGATATGAAGGAAGAGACAGAGCAACTGACGGAGGAGGATACACAGAAAAGAAGAGAGGCTTTTATAGTGCTGTGGGGTAATTTGAGAAGGAAAATATGATGCAACAAAAGGCAAGGAAATCATGGCTAGCTCAAGGGGATGCGAATACAAAGTTCTTTCATTCTTGTGTGAAGGGTAGATGGAGACAGAGTGAAATAAATAGTATCTTAATAAAAAGAGCAGAGATTAGGGAGGCTAGTAGAATGAAAGAGGAAATCTCTTCCTATTTTGAGGAACTATTCTTGGAGGAACAAGAGGAAAGGCCAAAGCTTGAAGGAGTTAGCTTTAAACAAGTCTCGCAGGAAGACAATGATTCACTTGTCACGCCTTTTATAGAAGAGGAGATTAAGGGAGTGGTATGGGAATGTGATAGCTCAAAGGCTCCGGTTCCTGACGGTTTTAATTTCTGCTTCGTCAAGTGACAGTGGGAGGTAATTAAAGAAAATGTAATTGGCTTTCTCCAAGAATTTCAGAAAAATGGGAGACTGGTGAAAAGACTCAATAATTCTTTTATTGTCCTTGTGCCCAAAGTGGACAATCCACAAAGGCTCGAGGAGTACAGACCCATCTCCCTCATAGGGGTCATGTACAAGATTCTGGCAAAATTGCTTGCTAACCGGTTGAAGAAGGTTCTTCAAGGCACAATTGGTGAACAACAGATGGCATGCCTTAGTGGAAGACAGTTGATGGATGGAGTATTAGTAGCGGATGAGATAATTGATGAAGCAAAAAACATGAAGAAGAAATCATTCATGCTAAAGATTGATTTTGAAAAGGCTTACGACAAGGTGAGTTGGAATTTCCTTGATTATATGCTTCAGAGGATGGGGTTCAGTGTCTTATGAAGAAAGTGGATAAAGGAATGCCTGTCAACAAATATGGTTTTGGTGTTGGTTAACGGAAGCCCAACTAGACAATTCTCGATTTCAAGGGGCCTTAGACAGAGAAATCCTCTATTTCCATTCTTGTTTCTGATCATTGCAGAAGGTCTTAACGGGCTGGTGTCAACTGCAACTAAAAAAGGATTGTTAAAAGGAGTAGAAGTTGGAAGAAGTGGTTTCAAAGTAACACACATCCAGTATGCAGATGATACATTATTGTTTGGAACAGCAAAAGAGGAAAATGTTCGGGCTATGAAAGGCATGTTGAGAGCATTTGAACTGGCCTTCGGACTCAAACTCAATTTTAACAAGAGCCATATCATCGGAATTGGTGTGGAGGAGGAGTGGCTCGACAAAATGCCTCTTTGTTGCAAAATAGGAACTCTCATTCTTAAATACTTGGGAATTCCCATTGGAAGAAGCTGCATGATGGCAATTTTTTGGAAACCGCTTGTTCAAATTTTCACACAAAAGTTAGATTCCTAGAAAGGTCGATATTTATCTCTTGGGGGTTGGATCACCCTTATTAACTCCGTGCTGTCTAGCCTCCCTGTGTTCTAGATGTCCCTGCATTTGATCCCTAAAGGTACAATTCTATTACTTGATAAAATTTGTAGAAGATTCTTGTGGGGTGGGACTGAGGAGGGTAAGAGAATTAATTGGGTTAGGTGGGATAAGGTTTGTATGGATAGGGAGAAAGGAGGTTTAGGGGTCAAAGACTTAAGGTTGTTTAAGCTTGCTCTATTAGGTAAATGGTGGGGGAGACTATTGAGGGAGGAGAAAGGTCTATGGATTAAAGTTATCTTCGAGAAGTATGGGAGGGTAGGGGAACTGAGATTTAATTGGCTTAGGGAGAACATCAAGTTCGGGTCAATCTGGTGGAGAAATATGTGCAAGCTGAGTGTAATAGAAGAAGGAAAAAGAGGTTGGTTAGATAAAGGGATGAATTTAAGAGTGGGGGAGGGGATAGATGTCAAATTTTGGTGGGATGAGTGGTGTGGGGAAGAAAGCCTTGCTAACAAGTATCCTAGACTTTACTTGATCTTCGTAGGGAAGGACAATAGGCTACCTCAAATGGGAGAGTGGCTTGAAGGCACATGGCATTGGACTCTAAAATGGAGAAGAAGATTGTTTAGCTAGGAAAAAGAACAGAAAGCAGAACTAATAGCTGATATCCAGAAAATAAAAATAGAACAAGGTAAACCAGATGTGTGGGCATGGAAGCATAATAAAGACGGGAGCTACTCATCCAAATCGGCATATCAAATTCTCTCTACAGAGCCTAGGAGTGCAAAGCAGGGGTCTATCCTACAAAACATTTGGCACCCATTTATCTCGAATAAAATCTCAACATTTTCTTGGCAATTATTACAAGACAAAATCCCAACAAAGACAAATTTGCTGCAGAGGGGTGTTATTCAAGACTTATCAGAGTGTAAGTGCCATTTATGTGGCTTGGAAATTGAGGATTCTAGCCACCTTTTCATTCACTGTAAAGTAGCTTCTGCTCTGTGGGTTGATTGCTTTAGATGGTGGGGAATTAAGACAGTGTTAGACAAGGATTGTAGGAAGGTTTTTGAGCAACATTCTAACTGGCTCAGAATTTCGACAGTGAAAGAAGGGTGGGATAGCATTTGGTTTACAATTGTTTGGTCTATTTGGTTAGCTAGAAATGAGCAGATATTTAGAGGAAAGGAGGCTGATAAAGGAAAGTTGCTGGACCTGGTGCAATTAAGGGCTTACAACTAGATAAAAAAAACAAAAGTACAGAATGCTTCTTTTCCATATCAGATTGGATATATGACCCAGCAAGCTGCCTTAAGCTCAATTGTGGCAGAAGAAAGATGAGGTAGAATGCAGCGATGGTAAGGGACTTAGCATGTCAAAAGTTTGGGGCCTCCCCTTTTGCGTAGCAAAAGGAATATAATGGCTTTAGGCCATTTACATCTTTAACTATTTGTAATGGGTTCGGAGTACCCTGTACTCCATAAATAAAATTACTTTTGCCTTTCAAAAAAAAAATTTTTTTGATAGCCAACATGCCACGAGAGAAGTTTTTTTGTTCATTTTTGGTATATATAGATGTGAAGAGTTTACTGTTTTTTGGCAGTTACCATGAATGTCACGTTGGGCAAGGCAGTCCAACCTAAAAGTCACTCACATTATTATGCAACAAATTGCATTGATTAATTAATCAATTAATATAGTATCAAAAACGATTTTTCAAGTTGTCATAATCTAGTGATACCGGTACTAAAATGATAATTTTTGAGGTTGTAAATATTCAGAAAGAAATTTGAAGAGAATTATTCAAAAAACTAGATTCATAATCTGGACTCTAAAAAAAAAAAAGTTAAATTTATAAGAAAAAAAATATATTTTTAAGTTTACCACATGGCCTCAGATATTCTAAATATCTTTATCACACATAAAATGCAATCATGGATCAGAATAGAAGGCTCAATCACAACCAGGTCAATGGAGATTCCAACAGTCTGCAAAGCTTAATCTCGCTTTCAATTACCATTAATCAAGCTTCTGGGTCAGGCTTTCCCAAGATAAAGGAAAAATACTCAGAAACACAATAAAATGCGCGCACAAAGGAAAATGTTCTCCTAAATGGACAAGATTCCTCCAGCAATAAACTAATAGTCCCTCTCAATTGGTTGAAATTGGGCTTACACAGACGAACATATAATCCACTAAAATTAAGATATTGAGGAGATGATGCATACATAGTAATTCATGTTTTGCGTATTTATTTATTTATTTATTCATTTTTTTAACAAATTCAAAAAAAATTAGATTCAAACCATTACTTAAAAAAAAATACTTATATATAACCTAATGCCATTTAATTAAAGTCCCAAATGCCATGCACATGCACATATATATATATATATATATATATATTAGACTGTAAAATGTACAAAAAGTTCATAGAGCTGATAAAACTGCTCTCCTCGGGATTAGTGTTTCTAAACCTTTAAGAGATCCTTTTATACTAATGGTTTCCAAAAAATTATAGTTTTGCCATGCCATTAGAAAAATGAAAAAGAAAAAGAAAAAGAAAACAAATAAAAATGGGCCTCCTGTCGGGCCCGGTAAACTGGAGGTCCATACAGTAAATTCGGTATTGGGCCTCCACTACTGATGCCCTACCACAATCTCAAATGGTAATACCATCTGGAAACCAAAAAAAATAAAACGGTAATACCATCTTACCATCTCTTCCTACCGTCTGGCAGAATTACCAAACCGTTACCGGCGATATCGGTATGGCACACCGGTAACCCGGGAATGGTGGCAAAGTGGCCAGCTGTCCTTACCTGAAGCATCTCTTCCATAACACAGCTTAGAGTAAAGTTTTTCCTTTTGCCTTTTGGCATTACTTAGCTTAGCTACTGGTTTTCTACACTCTTTTACATTGGTTTTGAGGGACAGAATGAAGAGCTAGTCGCAAGCGATAGACAAAATTTTCCATGTCATTGTTTAGCAGAATGAAAGAAACCATGAATTACAGGCGGAATTTAATAGTATGGTATGAATGTCACTGTTACACCGGGCAATCAGGCAATGGATTGCATATTTGTTATCATTTCTTCTGAAACTGGTTTAGAAATACTTATTGGATAAATCTGTCGCATCTGCAACATTTCTTGGATGATTCCTTGTTTTGGCCAAGACAATCCAGTTTGTCTATCCCCACAAGTCCACTCCCCAAACCCAAAAACTAAAAAGAAAAACCTTGACATAAACGATTCATGGGCTACCTCCACTTTCTCACAATTAATTGGGCAGGGATTATGGTAAAAGCCCTCGTAATTGAGTAAAGTACTTCTGCTTGCAAAAAGTGAGATTCGGTTTTCGGCCTCAAGAGTCAAGACAATGCCATTTTCTCTCGGGACGAGCAAACATATGTATGCGTCCAGTATGTATCTATACCTGTAGTTTACTAGAAATATACAGTTTCGAAGTTTTGATATTCAGTACTTATCTATTAAATATCTATACTCATTTTGTTTTACAGATAAGGGATTGCTCTACGCATAGTTAAAGTTGGGCATGCACAAATTGCCTTGTACTTTCATTGTAAACTAGTATAGTTGCTTCATCAGTGTAATTGGACAGGTTGAGTATCATTTGTACTTGTATTTATAAAATGAATATTTAAAAAAATCATAAATGTGGTGGAGAGAGAGAGAAAGCAATCATGAACTGGTAGAGAAGAAGTCTACTTCCCCTTCTTTGGTTGCTTAATGCTTATGTTTTCTGGATTTAACGTGTGTTATGTATGTATTTCTTTTCCCTTTTGTATTTGGCATTAATCTTGTGTGGCTCTAGACCATCTATATATATTGTAATCCTTCTTTGTTAATGTTAACCTTTTCTTTTTTTTGCAATAATAATAATAACAATAACAATAATAATAATAATAAAATTAGAAACAATAATTGGTATACTTTTTGATTCAATATATTCCACAATATAATTATTAAAAAATTATTATTTTTAAATTTAAATTCAAAGCAAGCAAATTTTTAATTACATAATTTAATGACTAAAC